AAAAGAAAAAAAATTGATATCGAAGAGGAGAGCTTGCAAATCATTCATTCTGAGCAAGTGGTATTACAATTAACAAAACTTTATCATAATTGTATGTATATTTATATGTTTAGATATATTTATGTATTTTTGTTTCTATTTCTCCCTCCTGCTCTCCTATACATTTTAAACTTTTAATAATTATTTAAAAAAAAAAGTTTTTCCAGAAGATCCTTTATTAGAGGTAAATGACGAGAATCCATTTCATAGGGTTGAATTGGAATACCCAGGATCAGATATTAAAGAATGGTAAAAAATAAATAAATTAATAAATGAAATAGATCAAGCTAGATTTTTTTTCTTTGTATTTGTTTATTTATTCATTTGTTATGTATGGATCTTATATATAATAGGTTTGCATTAGTTAAAACAGATCAAGATGATGAATATCAACCAATGGAAGATCTGTTTGACACAATAACACTAATCGTTAAAGAACTGCTTCCAGAGGAAGTAGCAAGAAGATTTGGGGTTTTGGAGGATGATGAGCTTGACAAGGATGGGATATTTAGACGATTAACCAAATATCGAAATCGTAAAGATGGTGTACAATTTATTAAAGCAGTTGAGGATTTTAATAAAACACTCAAACAATTAAAAAAAGAAGATCTGTTGAAGAGGAAAAAAAAAAGAAAAAGATTGAAGGAAGAGAAGAATCATCATCGTCATCGTCATCGTCATCGTCATCATCAGCATCAGCATCTACTTCTTTTAATTTAGTTAAACAAATACTAACACAGGTCTATAGTAGAGCCGTTGGGCCTGAAGTTGATAGTCTGAAACACTACAAAGGTATCCATCCATTCATTTCCTATTTCTATTATAAATACGTGACGGTTTATATTAATAGATATATGTATATGTGTATGTTATTTTTGATATAAAAGCATTTTCTAGTAATGTATATGGAGAGCTTCAGCCTCAATTGATTAATGACATGATTAAAAAAACTTGTATAAAGAAAGATTCTTTATTTATTGATCTGGGATGTGGAGTTGGTAATGTAGTTTTACAAGTTGCAGCTCAAACAGGCTGTACATCAATCGGAATAGAAACAGCAGATAATCCAAGTGCACTTTCAATGAAACATTTAGCTGAATTTAAAGCTCGTGCAAAGTTAGTATCAATATTTATTTAATGGGATAAAAAAATCAATGTTATATTTACAATGAATATTTGAATGAATGATTTTATTTATTTATTATTAAAATCTTGTACATTAGTTATTATGGATTAGAATATGGAGATATTGTTATTAGAAAAGGGGACTTTTTAAATGACATGGACACCTTAAAAGATATAGAACAAGCAGACGTACTATTAGCAAACAATTTTATGTTTAGTCCAATGCTTAACCAACAACTATTAAATTTGTTCTTAAATTGCAAGAATGGTGCAAAAATCATCTCATTGAAGAAGCTGGTGGCAGTGACAGTGGTAATGAATTTGAAAAAATTGGGATTACACTTGAAAAATAATCAATAATAATCTTTTTCGTTTGTAATTTATACACAAATAGAAAAACTTTTTTTTCCTAAAACATAATTCCAATCATACACATCCTTTAGATTCATTCATTGCATTACAATTTCATCATTCTTGTATTCATAATTTTATTGCATTCATCATAATTTGCATTCATTTTCGTTTATCAATTTAAAACCAAAATTCAACACAAAAGACATTTTAACGATTATATTTAAAAGTTTTAATTATAAACGACACTTGTAGATATTAAAAGTCATTCATTTCAATAAATATAACAATTTTCTGATTGAAAATCGCACTCTCTCTTTATCTGATAAAGTTTTGATGGTAATAGGGGTAAATTTTGCGTAACCTATATTTCTAACATTTTTTTCTAATCATGTCATCATCAATTTCACCTAACGGTAAAGCCATTATACTTCCGGATAGAGCCCAACCTTTAGCAAATTATCCACATGCAAGAATTGCAGGTGACTTCATATTTATATCTGGAATTTCTTCACGTAAACCTGACAACACGTTAGTATTATAGCTAGTAAAATTATATACATGATTCTTTTTATTCCTGAAAAAGAATAAGATTTATACTTCTAATTAATCAATTAACCAACACTTAAAAGATATGATGGTGTAAGTTTACTATAAACATAAATTGTATTAGTGTAATTTATCATCATCTTCTTTTTTATCATCATGATTAATGAATATATTATTCGGTAAAAGGTGATTGAATTACCGGATGGATCGTTCGAATTGGACATTCGTAAACAAACTAAAGCCGTCATTGAAAATATTGGAGTGATATTGAATCAAGCGGGTGGAGCTTCGTTAAGTAACCTGATTGATTTGACGGTGTTTCTAGTGAACATGCAAGATTATCATGGGTTCAATGAAGTTTACAATCAATATTTTGATCAGATTAATGGACCTTCTAGAACAACTGTTGCTGTTTTTAAATTACCTTCGGTAAGTTTTTCAAATAAAAAAACTTGTTGATTGGGTTGTAATTTATAATAACTAATGTTGATATATCCCATGTTTTATAGCCCAGATTACTAATTGAGATTAAAGGTACCGCTTTATTACCAAAATAATCGATTAGGCATATTATTATTATATAAATTATATGATTCTATCCCAAAGGAAAAGAATTTACATTAAATATTATTATTATTATTATTGGTAAATTATTAATTACCAAAAATCTTTATTCTTAATCTAAAAAAAATAAGCGTCGTTCAAAATTTAATTATTTATAATATAATATAATATAATATAATATAACACCTTTATACATATATATAATGAATGGAGAAATTAAATATTATAAATATATATATATATATATCTATATATACGTTCGTGGAAAAAAATCTATTATGTAAAAATAAAATTCTTTTTCTCTTATTTGTATAGTATATAAAATATTTAAATCCATCTATATCATATTTTTGAATAGAAGGGATTAATTATTGTTTCAGTGAAAAAGTTTTTTATATTTATTTAATTACGTTGTCTCCTAGAACGTCTTGTACCATTACCATTATTATTATTTGAAAAACTATCCCAAAAAATTTTTAAAGGTTCTCTACTTATCGTTGCCACTAAAAAAAATTTTTTAAAAAGCAAAAAGTAAAAATCAATAACTGATTAATTGATTTTCACTTCTAAAACAATTTTTCTCTTTACCATAATAAACGCCTTGATTGTTAGTCCAACTAACCGACCCAGATTTATAATAATGCTCTTCAACATTTGTCAATATGGATTCAACAGCGTTGGCTGTCCTACCATTAATTCGTTTATTGCTTGATACAAAACTTTTCAATGAGATGATTTTTGCACCATTCTTGCAATTTAAGAACAAATTTAATAGTTGTTGGTTAAGCATTGGACTAAACATAAAATTGTTTGCTAATAGTACGTCTGCTTGTTCTATATCTTTTAAGGTGTCCATGTCATTTAAAAAGTCCCCTTTTCTAATAACAATATCTCCATATTCTAATCCATAATAACTAATGTACAAGATTTTAATAATAAATAAATAAAATCATTCATTCAAATATTCATTGTAAATATAACATTGATTTTTTTATCCCATTAAATAAATATTGATACTAACTTTGCACGAGCTTTAAATTCAGCTAAATGTTTCATTGAAAGTGCACTTGGATTATCTGCTGTTTCTATTCCGATTGATGTACAGCCTGTTTGAGCTGCAACTTGTAAAACTACATTACCAACTCCACATCCCAGATCAATAAATAAAGAATCTTTCTTTATACAAGTTTTTTTAATCATGTCATTAATCAATTGAGGCTGAAGCTCTCCATATACATTACTAGAAAATGCTTTTATATCAAAAATAACATACACATATACATATATCTATTAATATAAACCGTCACGTATTTATAATAGAAATAGGAAATGAATGGATGGATACCTTTGTAGTGTTTCAGACTATCAACTTCAGGCCCAACGGCTCTACTATAGACCTGTGTTAGTATTTGTTTAACTAAATTAAAAGAAGTAGATGCTGATGCTGATGATGACGATGACGATGACGATGACGATGATGATTCTTCTCTTCCTTCAATCTTTTTCTTTTTTTTTTTCCTCTTCAACAGATCTTCTTTTTTTAATTGTTTGAGTGTTTTATTAAAATCCTCAACTGCTTTAATAAATTGTACACCATCTTTACGATTTCGATATTTGGTTAATCGTCTAAATATCCCATCCTTGTCAAGCTCATCATCCTCCAAAACCCCAAATCTTCTTGCTACTTCCTCTGGAAGCAGTTCTTTAACGATTAGTGTTATTGTGTCAAACAGATCTTCCATTGGTTGATATTCATCATCTTGATCTGTTTTAACTAATGCAAACCTATTATATATAAGATCCATACATAACAAATGAATAAATAAACAAATACAAAGAAAAAAAATCTAGCTTGATCTATTTCATTTATTAATTTATTTATTTTTTACCATTCTTTAATATCTGATCCTGGGTATTCCAATTCAACCCTATGAAATGGATTCTCGTCATTTACCTCTAATAAAGGATCTTCTGGAAAAACTTTTTTTTTTAAATAATTATTAAAAGTTTAAAATGTATAGGAGAGCAGGAGGGAGAAATAGAAACAAAAATACATAAATATATCTAAACATATAAATATACATACAATTATGATAAAGTTTTGTTAATTGTAATACCACTTGCTCAGAATGAATGATTTGCAAGCTCTCCTCTTCGATATCAATTTTTTTTCTTTTTTGACCATTATTAAGGGTAGATTCCATAATAAACACATAAAAATATATATTAATATGTATTGTTGTTTTTAAACAATATAAAATTTTCTATACCAAATTAAATTTTTTGATGGTCGAACAAATAAGGAAAGGTGTATGACAGATCACGTGTAAAATTTTCAAAGCCCTAAATTTAGGACCATGTGGCAGTCACATCAGTTGATAATAATAATAAAAATTCGAATCGTGTAACAAACATCATTTATTATGTTGTTCAAAAAAAAAACAGCTTTTCAAAACTAGATTTTTATTTAACAAACTTGATTAGTGGTCGAGAAGATGTAAAATATCATAAACTGAGTGTTAGTATGTCTTTAATATTAAGGGATTAAAGTAAAGTTTAGAGAAAATTCCAAATGTGGTAAAATAAGGTGTGATGCATAAATCACATGATGTCCTTTAATAGTGAGGTTGAACCCGTATTTTTATAATATATAAATTAATTGACATTTCTCTCATTCATATAATAAAAAAGATGATTTGGGGAACTGCATCATTTATATTTTTTAATTCTTAATAATGAATTAAACAAAAAAAGTAAAAAAATATAATATGTACAGATTTAATATATGTGTGTGTGTGTGTAAAGTAACATTATTATGTGAAGGAATTCTGCTACTGTTTGCGCGGTCTAAAGATCCCTGTTGCTGCGCCATATGCTCAAAAATAGCGATTTCGTGATTCATTCAAAAAATTTTGAAGGTATTTCCAAAAATGGACTTTATGTGATTTTGGTGTAATAAAAATAAAAATAAATGAAAACATGCTATTCTCTCGATATATTAAATTCGTTATTAAATGTTGGATAGCTATGATAACAGTGTAAAATCAAAAACAAAAAAGTCATTAAAATAGATCGTCTTGCTAATTAACCATATTTTCCTTACTGCCAAATTTAGAAATGATTATTTCAAACTTATCCTAGCGCTCGAATTCCTCGTGAACATAGTAATAGTAATAGCAATAGTAAAATACATGTACTAAAAAAGAATAAAACTCTGCAACAAATAATTTTTTTTGAGAAAATATTTTCATTATATTAAAACTAGAGACCCAATGAAGCTATTTTTTAAAAATGTAGGACAGAAAGTGACTTTTACACTTTTAAAATTTGTGCAAAATTTAGACCGAGCCAACTATATCAATATTAAATTTGTAGATCTTATTTTAAAAACCAAAAATGCATGAAATTATTACTATCGATTCCAAAGATTCTGGTAAACGTTTAGAAAAGTTTGTATGTGATAATTTTCGTAGTTTAGTACTTTCGAAACACCTTTGTAAACAGTGTATTAAACGTGGTGAAATACTTGTTAATGAAAAACCAGTTGAAGCTTCTCGTTTACTTAAAAAGGGTGACAAGGTACAATTAAAAATAAATGAAAGTGCATTACAAAAAGATAGACTTAAATTATCTGTAAATATAAATTTTGAAGACGAATATCTTGCTGTCATTATTAAAGAGCCAGGTGTGGTGATGGTCTTTAAATGATTATTTTTACGAGATTATATATATTAAAGTCTATTAATCCGATTTTATTTATTTTAAAGGTATTCATATGCATGGCTTACATAAAAGTTTACCTTTTATACTAGACAACCAAAATGTATTGTTGAGAGATTATAAGTGCATAAATCAATTGCAACGAGCTATTACTGGTTTAGTATGTATTTATGACACATACATAATATATGTACTTGTACTTATTCACTAAATAATTTTTGTTCATATTTTCATATAACGAACAAAAAGGTTATTGTTTCTAAAACAAAAGAAGTAACAGATAAACTTGCTAATATGTTAAAAGATGGCACTATTAAACAGAGTTATCGAATAATATGTCATGGCAAATATGATTCACAAAGGGTACATTCTTCTTCAACAACAACAACAACAATATCAGTGCCACCGCCACCATTTACAATACAAACGATAGAGGTTACTCGAAGCTCATCAAGCGAAGAAAAATATATATCAACTTTAAATGTTATAATAGATGATCGAAAAGTTGGATCTAATTATATAAGTATTAGAGAATATTTCATGAAAATTGGCCATCCAATCGTTGGATCAAATTCTTATTCAAAGCAATTAAAGTCATGTAAAGATAAAGGAATGATGATGGCATTATTAGAAGTGTCATTTTTACATCCTGTGATAAGCCAGAAAGAAATAAAAATCACTATTCCTGAGCCGACAAAACTTCAAGTAAATATTCTATAAAATTTATCTCTCTGGAAAAAAAATTTTTATAATAAAAGTTCATTGTTTATTTTATTCATTATAAATTAGAAAATAAGGCAACGTGAAACACAATTTTATGAAAAGAAACAAGAGAAAAAAATTTCTGAATTGAATCGGTATGGAATTACAGAACCTATTGATAACTTGAAAGAAATACCTGTTGCCTATATTACAGGAGAAAAGGTAATTGCAACCAATCTTTTGTTTGTTTGTTTGTTTTTGGTTTTGATTTTTTTTCTAAAAAAAAATTATATTTTTTTAGGAATTTTTTAAATTGAGATTCTCAATAACTAAAGATGTTATGATCCCAAGACCTTCAACAGAATTCCTTGTTCAAACTGCACTGGAACTACACCATCGTCATCATCGTAAGAGCAATAGTAATGATACAAATCCTTTTTCCAAGTCATTTTCAATAATTGATGTTGGAACAGGATCAGGATGTATTTTAATTTCAATATTGCACTCGATCATATCATCTTCAGATAATCAACAAGAGGAAGGAGAAGAAATATACGGTTTAGGAGTAGATATTAATTTAAATGTTTTAAATGTTGCCAAAGAAAATTCCAAAAAACTATTAAATCCTTTAATTGATAATAGCAAAACTAGCATCATGTTGGAATATGATTTTCAACAATTGGATTTACAATATTTGCATGAAAACTCGACATTATTTAATAAAAAATTTAATTTATTAGTTTGCAATCCACCATATCTTGATATCTCACGACCTCTCTCTAGTGATGACGATCGTTGTCTAGAACCATCTGAAGCTTTATTTGCAGAAGAATCAGGATTTAAAATGTATCGACTACTTCATCAATCTATAGAACTGTCATTTGAAAAAAATATTTTCTATGATGGAACTTTTTTGGTTTTGGAGGTTGGTATTAAAATGGCTAAAAATGTGAAAGAAATATTCAAAGGATGGAAATGTATAAAAGTTGTAAAAGATAAACAAGGAACTGAAAGATGCTTGGTATTTTCTAGAAATAGTTAAGTAATTTTTTTTTCTTTAATTGACTTGAAACATTTTGTTCATGATACTTTTTGCTGCACATGAGCGTTCCAAATATATCAAATATCAATAAAAAATTTGTTGTAGCTCGTTTTAGTTGTCACGTGAAACCAATAATAATAATCCAAATGTCGATCCTTTTATTATAGAATGATCTGCAAAAACCACGCTAACAGAATCATTTTTTTGGCGGAGAAATTTCCCAAAGTAGTCTATTTGAAACTACTAAAAGAAATGCTGAAGAAGGTGGATTCTTTAAACTTAATATAGGCGATTATCTCTGTACAAAGTGCTTGATTCATTGTCATTACAATTTAAGCTCAAGTTTAATTTGCCTTCCCCATCACATGATAAATTTATAAAATGGATATTTTTTTTGAACTCTTTCTCACATGAAGTATTCATGGTGTCATTTTGCTTTTTCTTAAAGTTTCGGAGTTTCGAAATGACTTCGAAGTTTTAAAATAGTTTCAAAAGTTTCAGAGTAGTTTGCAGTTTTAAAAACAGTATCTGAGTTTCAATTTTTGAAATAGTTTCGAATTTTGAAATTTTGAAGTTTAGAACTCAATAATAGTTTTTTTGTATAGTAATAAAAGTTTTTCTTAAAACTTGCATTTAATAAAAATAAATTCTGATGAAAATTCAACTTTCATGGAATTTGATTTGATTTGCTTCACGTTGGTGGCATGAAGCAATTGACATCTAAAAATGCGTCATATACATAACAAAATAACCAAGGACATGATAATTCACCTGTATATCAATCTTCTATTAATAAATTTATTGTAAATTCAAATGACATTACAATTCTGTTAATACCGTTTATGATCGATATTTTCAAATCAAGATTGAAAGGTCAATATTTTTTGAAATGGCTAATAATGATCAGCTAAATAGAATGTTACCTTTCCCCTTTTCATTATCAAAGAAGATAAGTCTAAAATGTTTGCTTCATATGACATAACAGGGCCTTCTGATGATATCATATTACACTTGTAGAAAGGTTTAGGCATGAGTTTGTTATATTTCCACAATTTTATATCAATAATCTATCCCATGAAATTTATATTCATTAAAAACTGGAGAATTACTATATGAACATCAAAATCCTAATGTAAATGTGTTATGGACTATTTCAAATGTATCCTGATAGATGATTATTCTTATTAGTCAGTATAGATGATTGAAAAACAACTATTTTCTAGTGCCTGATAGTTTTGATAAAATTTTTACAGAAAAGATTTTACATTATCAGTAATAATTTGCTATATATAAATTTTAATATTATTAAAAAAATGACAAAAATTTTGAAACAAACAAAAATTAATGAAATAATGAATATTTGTCCAAAGTTAATTGCGGCCGATTTAGCTTTTTTCTGATGTTGAATCAAATTCAGATTCAAATAAACAGCTAAATTTAAATAAAGAGCTAGATTTTAGTGCAAAAATTTTTTGGAAAAGTATTGAAGATGCTATTGGTTCTGGTAAAAGAGGGCTTGATAGGCAACAAAGGATATTATCAATTATTAGCAATGACTTGAGCGCTGCTGCTAGAAAACATGCACGAATTTATGGAGAAGGTATTTTATTGATTGGATGTGTATTTTATCCCCATTCCACTGTTTTCATATTGCTGTCTTCATTTTATAATCATAATTATCGTCGTTTTTATATACATCTTTTCATGTGTCGTTATGTCACGCGATCAACTGTAGCTACTATGTAAATTTTCGTGGAACATTTTCTTAAAATCGAAGGAATTAATAAAAGTAAAAAAAAAAAGGAAAAATGAAATCTGAATATAAAGTAAAAAATGATCAAACAATATCTTTACCATCAATTGCTATCATGTTTCATGTTTATAATTTGGTAATTTAAAGATAATCAAGTTCTTAAGTTTGTATGTATATAATATGCATGTTTCTTTTATTGATTCTTATTGATTATTTGTCAAAGGCACAAAGTAGACCAGTGATGACTGATGAAAATGCGGTTGAATATTTGGAAAGATTACAAAAAGTTCTAGTAAATATATCTTTATAATCTTTTATACTTTTTGTTAAATAATATCAATTTCATTGATAATCGATAATTGATTTTTTATAATAGAAAGTTTTTGATCATGCGCTTTATGTGGAATTATGGGTTGCTGCTTTAACCGGTCTAGCTGAACAACGAAATAATAAACATTCACCTAATCATATTTTATTATGGACAAGTTTTGTTTTGGTCAAAGTAATTAATTAATTAACATCAGAATTCGGGTTTTTATTACTATATTTTAATCTTGTTGACTTGATTCTAGCTTCCTGCTTTAATAGAAAAATTGGAGGAAAGAAAAAAATTGAAAATATTAGAAAAAGAAATTTTATATGAAGAAATCAAAGTAAGTTAAATCTTATATTTTACTTTTGATGAATTTATTAAATAATATATTTATATGATTTATATGATTTATATATAGTATAATCGACATGAATGTGTGATTAATCAATTATTTGGATATCGAGGATTAATTAGTGCTTGTAATCAACGCGTAGAGGGAATTGTAGATGGTATTTTTCAGTAAGTCATATATATATAGTACTGAAAAAGTATTCGTTTATGCTAGTCACTGTATTATAATCCATGTTAAAATTCTCATTAATAACTTATAAAACTTCTAAAATATTTAGATCTGGTGATGCTGATATTTCAGTTGATATCTTGCAAGTATGTCTAAAACGTAAATTTGTAAGAAAAGAATTTGTATTAAGATTGTTCGAAGATCGATCTACAGAATTGGAATGGGGCGATGAAAATGTTATGGTGGTTTGTAAATTAAAAAAATTTATATGCATAAATATTTTCTAAATTAAAATAAACGAATTAAAATGAATTAACAATATTTTTTAATAGGATACTGCTGCTGCTACAGCCAACACATTAGAACTGCCCAGTAATGGCATGATTGATTACTTAATTTCAACTGCCCAAACAGGTTTTTTACATCAAGAATCTAGAGTAGAGACAATATTAAGTGTGAATATCAAGTGTAATTAATATAATTAACAATCAATATATAATATACTTGTAAGTTTGTTTTATAATATATAAAAGTATTTTTATAAATAATATATTAGGTGATAACAACATGGTGTGGGAAAAATGAATTGCAACCTTTAGCAATTCTTTGTCGGTCACTTCTTGAAAATCCTAGACTTCTTGATATAATTCATTTATATAGACATCCATATGATTTTCTGGGACCAATAGAAAGGTTATGTAATGATTGGAAAAAAGAAAATACAAACGATAGTTTCGGTAAATGTATTGATAATATATAAATAAATAAATAAAACATATTACGTATCGAATTTTTATTTATGATTAATATTTTTATTATTTAAGACTCATATAAACAGGATTACGAGAATTTTGGGATTATCTTTATATTATTAGTTACCACGATAGAAAGATATGAGGTAAATGAATGATTTAATGGGGGAAATCAAAATCATATCATCAGTTAATTAAAAAAAAAATTTTTTTGGATAAATAAAAATATAGTTTCATAAAAATATTAAAGGTGTATTACATGATGAACTTGGATTTTGTCATACATGGCTTCTTCGTTCATCTGTCACATATGAATTAAGACTGTTAAATCATTCAAAAGCTACTACTGTAAAACAATGGACAAATGCAATGATAAATGATCAAAATATTTCTGAGAATTTGATAAGGTAGTTTAATAATTTTCGTCTATATATATATATGTTTATATAAATTCTCAATAAATTATTGATACATGTATACATATATATGTTGAATAAATAGAACAACTAATCCAAGAGCTTTAATTGAATTGTTACCAACAATATTTAAGCAAACACTTGCTGAAATCAGTTCCAATAATGGTGAAACTACAACTATAACTGATGATGATGCTATGGATATTTCCTCAACTAATACAACGACTGTTACTATTGATACTTTAATACCTATATTCAAAAATTTTTTAAGACCTCATTTATCATATGCATTTATTGGTGTAGTTCAATGGTTATGTGATGATATTTTCTTTTCAGTGTAAGATTAAATATTTAAATATGAATTTTTATTTATTTATTTTTAAAAGGTTATTTATATATTTACAATTACATTATAGAAACTCACAAAATTCGATGAAACTTTTAAAAGCCTTAATTTTAGATGACAATTTTCCAAAAAAAATATTAAAATTAATAGAACCAAAAATCATCGCATTAATCAATTATATAAATGATATTAATAATAATATCAATAATATTGGTAATAAAAATCTTATATTATTACCAGCACTTGATCCAGAAATGGAAAAAATCAAATTAAAAATAAAGGATAATAATAATGGAAAAGGTAAATATCTCATTCGTGTATATATATATATATATATATATATATATGAAAAATTAAATGTATAAATTTATAAAAAAAATTTGCTTTTTAAAAAAAGCGAGAAAGTCTACAAAACATCCTACAGAAACATTATTTCCAAGATTTCTTATTGTATTTGAATCAGTTGTCCGTGGTGGCAGGCAACATAAAAAAACCTTGGGAAGCTTTAAATATGATTATGATTATGATTCAAAAATATTTGAAATGTCGACAAATTTAGAATGGTGGGGACCTCATCATTTAGATATTGGGTTGTTTAGAGCTTGTTTAGAAAATATTGGTCCAAAGATATTTGTAGATTCAATAATTGAAGTAGGCTATCTCATTTAATATTATTGATATTGTTTTTTTTTTTAAAAAAAAATTAATTGGCTGATTCATATTTTTTTAAAAAAAAAAATTCAATAGGGTGTGTTGGTAGCAAGTCTAAGTGGAATGGGCTCACGTGCAGGTATTTTTCTAGAACCTGTTTACATTATATTATTTTATATTTATGTGTTTGTTTATTTTTTTATTATATTTTTTTAACGTTAAAAATTTTATAATAAAAGCTGAATTAGGAGCGTCATTATTAACACAACCATTATGTTATACGTGGAATAAACAATTACAGTCAACAAATCTTTTGCACATATTTTTTACAAAAGTATTGTCCAATGTGCTAAGTAAAAAATCACTAATTTATACACAGTTTTTTGCATTGGGTTTATTAACATTATATATAATTATACTCTACAACGAAGATAATAAAATTTATCAAGATTTTATTAAAAATATTTTATCAAAATTTCAAGATCAATCAATTGCCGAAAAAATCAAGAAAAACTCGATAATAGGAAAGAACAACAACATAAATGCTACAGCCATTAACAACAACATTGATAGTATTAATACGAGCATTAGTAGTATTGATATTAGTAATACTAGTATTAGTAGTAGTAATTTTAAAAATAGTAATAGTAATAATAATAATAACTTAATGAATGGGCCTACAAGAGGCTTTATTGATGGATTAATTTCCAATAAAGAAATAATTAACATAGTTCCAGAATTAATAACTTTATAAATACGAATGTTAAGCACAAAATAAAAAATATACCTTTTATCATTAATTTTTTACTGTCTGCTACGCCTCGATGAAGATTCATGTGAGTTGTGAATGAGTGTAGATTATCACGTTTTCTCTATATAGATTTAAAAAAAAATAGATTATTATAGGGGGGTGCCCAAAATGACATCATTTCTCTGATATAAGCTCATACCCCTCCCATGCCTGTATCACAAAGGTTTGATAAAATGAAACCGAATTTTATTGGATCATATAAAGTGTAACGTCGAAAGCTCCCAGCCCCCCTCCCAAAACTGAATGACGTCATTTTGGGCACCCCCCTAAAATGTTTGTTAATGTTTGATATCTGCCGATCAATGATCGTGAAATTTTTGATTTTTGATTTTGAATTGGTAATGTGTATTACCAAAAAAAAATAATATAAAAAAGTATGGTTAATTTAAATTTTTTCTTTAAATTCTTTTCTCCCACTCTTCATTTTCACGAAGAAGAACAATAAAGGGTAAATTCATTGAGATTTTCATGATTAATCAATCATTTAAAAATAAATTTTTAATTAAATTTATAAATCGATTAATTCATAAAATTACTTGTATATAATAAATCCGCAGATTTTTTTAAATATTTTTGTATAATTGCAAAAATTTCTTATTAACTATTCACGAATATAATAATGTAAGATAAAATTCTGTCAATAATTTTATCTATAAATTCATTAATTTAGTAAGCTTTAAAAAATAATCATTAAAAATTTTTTTCTCACTATTTTTTTTTTTAAAGTAATAATGGCCGAAGGACTCCGTTTTGATGGACGTACAGTTATTGTAACAGGAGCTGGTGGTGGTGAGTAAAAATATTATTTAGTGTTTATATATGCGAGAATGAAGGATTCGATTCAAACAAATTTCTTTTGAATGATCAGATGTATATATATAAAATATAGTAGAAAATTTTTTTCTTTAAATAAATTCATTATTTCATTCAAGAATATTTACAATTTAATTTATTGCTCTTCAAATAATAATAGGTTTGGGGCGTGCTTATGCACTTGCTTTTGCGTCACGTGGTGCCAATGTTGTGGTAAATGATCTTGGTGTTTCCAGAGGTGGCGATGGATCTTCTACAGCAGCTGCAGATAAGGTGGTTGATGAAATTGTTAGCATTGGTGGTAAAGCGGTTGCAAATTATAATTCAGTAGAAGACGGTGATAAAATTGTGGAAACTGCACTAAAAGCATTTGGTCGTGTTGATATTGTAATAAACAATGCAGGGTAAATAATCATTATAATTAAGAGTGTGATTTGTTATTTGTTGTTGTAAATTTAAACTTAATTTTTACTTGTAGGATTCTTCGTGATAAATCATTTGCACGAATGAATGATTCAGACTGGGATCTTGTTCAAGCAATCCATGTTCGCGGCTCATATAAAGTAACCAAAGCAGCTTGGGATGTTTTCCGGAAACAAAAATTTGGAAGAATCATAAATACTGCCTCAGCCGCAGGTATTTATGGAAACTTCGGTCAAGCCAATTATAGTTCAGGTATCTTCATTTTCTATTATTTTAATTAGTCATCGAAGCTAAGTTTTTTAAAAAAATTATATAATAACTTGTTACGTTATGTTTATTAGCCAAACTTGGATTGGTCAGTTTTACTTCAACACTTGCTAAGGAGGGTGAAAAATCAAATATTCATGCAAATTGTATTGCACCAATTGCGGCATCAAGAATGACCGAGACAGTAATGCCACCAGATGTCCTTGCATCTCTCAAACCTGATTATATTGCTCCATTAGTTTTATATTTGTGTCATGAATCAACTCAAGAAAATGGAAGTTTATTTGAACTTGGTGCTGGCTTTGTAGCTAAATTGAGGTGGCAACGATCAAAAGGCGCTATTTTCAAAACTGATGAAACATTCTTACCTGGCACTGTACTGGCAAAATGGCCTGAAGTCACAGATTTTTCAGAACCTGACTACCCTACCTCGCCAAGTGATAAAGATTATTATAGTTTGCTGGAGATAGCAAAAAAATTGCCCTCTAATCCTAAATCAGAAGATCTAAAACTTGATGGCAAGGTTGCTGTTGTTACTGGAGCAGGAGGTGGGCTAGGTCGTGCATATGCTATTTTGTTGGGCAAACTTGGTGCATCAGTTGTAGTTAATGACATTGGAGTTAGCACACATGGCCAAGGAACTTCTAATAAAGCTGCAGACAAAGTAGTTCAAGAGATTATAAATGCAGGTGGTAAAGCTGTTGCCAACTATGATTCAGTTGAAGATGGTGATAAAGTGGTTGAAACAGCCATAAAAGCATTTGGGCGTGTAGACATCATAGTTAATAATGCTGGTATATTGAGAGACAAATCATTTGCCAGAATGACAGATCAAGATTGGGATTTAGTACAGAGAGTCCATCTACGAGGAACCTATAAAGTAACGAAAGCTGCATGGCCTTACTTTACCAGACAAAAATATGGTCGTATTATAAATACAGCTTCGTCAGTTGGTCTTTATGGTAATTTTGGTCAAGCTAATTATAGCACAGGTTAGTAGTAATTCTGATATCAAAAAAAACAAAGTTTTCTTTTAAGCAAACAAGAATGACATTTGAGAGATACTTATTTTTGTATAATTTTTTATAGCAAAACTTGGAATATTAGGCCTCAGTAATACTTTAGCATTGGAGGGCAGAAAAAATAATATCCTTGTTAATACTATCGCACCTAATGCAGGAACAAGAATGACTGCAACCATATGGCCACCTGAAATGGTTGAAGCATTTAAGCCAGAATATGTTGCACCTTTTGTTGGTTTTCTTGCACATGAATTATGTCCTTCAACTGGAAATGTTTTTGAAGTTAGTGGTGGTTGGGCAGCTCAAGTGCAATGGCAACGTGCAGGTGGTGTTGGATTTTCAACATCTAAACCACTTCTACCAGAAGATATTGCATCAAAATGGGACGTCATCACAAACTTTGATGATGGGCGTGCAACAAACCCAAAAACAACACAAGAAGCACTTCAGCAATTCTTTGAAAACTTTGAAAATGCTAAAGCTTCTGAAGATAAACAAGAACAAAAACCATCTAAGGGTAAAATTGATGTCGAGGCTGCAAAAAGTCATAAATTTGAACCTAATGTATTCGAATATACAGACAGAGATGTTAAACTTTATGCGTTGGGTGTTGGTGCTAAACGTACTGATTTGAATTGGGTATTCGAGGGTGATGAGAGATTTGCTGTTTTACCAACATTTGGTGTTATTGCTGGATTATCTGCTCTACCATTAGATAAACTTCCTGATGTATTGGGCGATTTCAATCTGGTAAATTGGAAAAAATTTTTAATGCCATATATTATTTTTTATCCGATTTATTAGTAATAACAATTTATTTTTTCAATATCTTAATTATTAGATGAAACTTCTTCACGGAGAACAATATCTTGAAATTAAGAAGCCAATTCCAATTTCAGGTAGATTAACTTCATTGCCTAGAATTGTGGATATACTTGATAAAGGAAAAGGAGCGACTGTGATTATTGGAGTTGAAACAAAGGATGAAAATGGAGAAACCGTTTTTGAAAATGAGGCAACATTATTTATAAGAGGGCTAGGAGGATTCGGTGGAAAGAAAAATCGTGAAGCTAAAGGTGCATCTGTAGATAGTAATACACCACCATCTCGAACACCAGATAAAATTTTTAAGGAGAAAACTACAGAAGAACAAGCTGCCTTGTATCGATTAAATGGAGATGTATGTATATTGTTATTTTTATTGTCATTACTATTGATGATAATGTTATTGATAATGTTAAAAAAAAACTTTAGTTGAATCCACTTCATATAAGTCCTGACTTTTCACAAATGGGCGGATTTGAAACACCAATTCTTCATGGATTGTGTACATTCGGATTTTCAGCGAGACATGTTTTGAAAGAATTTTGTGACAATGATCCTACCAAACTTCGATCTATTAAAGCAAGGTTTGCATCGCCTGTTTTTCCCGGTGAGACCTTGGAAACCCAAATGTGGAAGACAGGGAATAAAGTTATTTTCCAAACACGCGTTGTTGAAAGAGATGTTATTGCAATTACAGCTGCAGCTGTAGAATTGAATGATGGCGGATTATCTGATCAAGCCAAATCTAAACTCTAAGCAAGTCGTAGATTTATTTCATTCATTAATTTGGTTAGAACTTTAATTAGTACCTCAGGAATGAATTTTATCATAAGTTTCATTTGAAAAGAGAGTTTCGAATTTTAGATATAATACTAATTTTATTTATAATAGTTATTAAAAAAAACATTATTATTATTATTATTATTAAAAAATTTTTTAAAAATTAAATTAGCGACTTTTAATGTGTGTGGTTAAACTTTTTATTTATTTTTTGATTATTACACAAACGCGATACACAAAAACCTACAAAAGAACCAAATTCAATCGTTGCCAGTATACATTATAGAAAAAAAATTGATGTGGTAATTTTGTTACTCCAGTTATTTAATAAGATGATCTACCTTTAATTTTATTTTGTATATTGCGAAAAAAAACCCCATTTTACAAAAATATATGCAACTGGAAATGATTTAATAAATTGTCGTTATCTTTATAACATAAAGATTCAATTTCAAGTGTTCCAAACTTTCGTACGATTTCTAAAAGCGAAGAAAAAAAATTTTTTTAATATTAACTATTGTATTATTTATATGTTGATCATTTAAAAATATTATTTTACGTGAGATCCGTATTTAATTACAGATTGTAAGTTACTAAACAACTTAATTAATTGTCTAGTTCACGCGCCTAATGAGGACGTTTTCTGGTGGGGCTTGTCTTATTTCCTCTGGCCGTGGTGAGACAAATTCCGTCGGAAAATTCGTTGGATTATCTATCATCTGTGTCATCCTTTTTCAATAAAGAAAAATATCCTTTTTTTTTTACAGGATATTAATATCCCTTTCCCTATAGATATTCAAAATAAAACATTTCTTAATTAGTTAATTTGATTAATATATATGTGGGAAAAAACCAGAATTTCCGTATAAAAAAATATATCAAAAGAAAACACGAGAACCAGAAGTTTTTTTATTGATGATGGATCAGCACCAATATGGTTACCAGAGTTGCTTTTTTTTGGGTTGATATATATATTTTTTTTTTTTTATAAATCAGAACATTTGTCATGTCTTCTAGGTAATTATTATAAGATTCTTCAAGATAATAAATGATTGGAGCATAAGAATTATCAATAGTAAATGGTAATAAACAATTATTACTGTTGAAAATTGGAAGGAAAACTGCACCTATACAATTGGAAAACAATTCAATATGTAATATTTGATCATCAGAAATTGTCAGACTACTTTATCTAAAACATTACAGCTAACTAGCTTGACTGGTCAAGAAATTCAGATGATTCAACATCATGCTCTTCATTTGAATATAATTTTGCAAGCATCAATGAAGGCCCCATTTTTCGCCTTACACCAGTATTAAACAGATTATATGAGAGATGTGTTGAATGGAGCTTTGAATGACATATTTTCAATGTAAATAATAATAAAGGTCATCAGAAGATCATGATCAATATCGCTGGAACTGAAGATGAAACTGCCTTTTTCGCAGTAGTAGCAACTCAATGCTAGCAATAAAGCAATGACTAATAACAACCTTATTCTAACAGAAGGATTGCCATCTCCTATCTCACATCACCATTATCAATTCAATTCAACCAAAAAAACCTTTTAATTCTTTGAATTAAGATCCTAATATTACTATTACTGCTCATTACTACTTTTATGATATTAACAATACAAATGATAAATCAAAACATTTAAAAGATTCTTCACTATCACCAAAAATAACAACATCCTCATCCTGCATCAGTTTTGCTATTTAAAGAACATGGCTTAGACTAGGTATATTTAAATGGTGTAGACAAGAATGATTCTTAAAACAGAAATTACAAAATCTTCCATTGCATCAAATTCAAAATATAGTTGAACTATGAGGAAGATGATAATTCTTTGTTTAATTCAAAAGAGACAGTATCAATAGTATAAAATACTCTTTCAAGTTTTACCAAAGATCCATTAACTCAACTGTAGATGATGATATCAATGGGTGTTTTTTTTATTTAGCTAATATTTGTTGTTGCTATGACGTTGTTGTTGTTGTCAATGAGGAGTGATAGATGTTGTTATTGTTGTTGTTGCAACTTCAATTTCAATTTATTTTGGAAGTTCATTAGGGGCAACAACATCAAACTTGTCAAAAATTGATGTAAAAGAATTAATTGAAAATGTTGTTATGCCAGTTTCATTGGCAGCAATAAAATAGTCTAATTATACAGATTAGAAGTTTTGTAAAATTTATAAAGATAAAATAATATCTTAAAAAACAAAGAATTTCATTTAGCCATTTCTTTAGCCAAACTTTAATATTTTATATATTTTAAATTTTCGAATTTTTAAAAAATAAAAAACGATTGAAATTGAATCATAATAATACATGATAAAATAAATAATTTTTGTCCTTTTTGTTTTTTTTTTATCAGATGATTTAATTGCTTCGTAAGTGATTTGCTGCAACTGTACAAGTTTTATATTAGTACTAGTAAATTATCCATTCGGATTTCTTTCATAATCCAATTTTTCAACATCTAATTCACTTGATCATTCATTAATTTCCAATTTTTATTATACTCGAGTTTTGTCTCATTAAGACATTATAATAGAAAGCATCTGTTTTTTTGATTGTTGGTGCAAATTCCGTTGATAAATTTGACCAAATGAAATTAATTATATATTTTCTTCCTCACTTTCAATATTCTAATTTTTTTTTTAATATACGTATTATTGGAACATATAATCTTGGCCCAAATTACCATGCACGCGCCAAAATATTATAATTCTGACCATTCACGTGATTATGTGATTTATACATTAAATGTAACAAATTTGCGTCATGAACTAACCACATTGAAATGTGTTGGGGATTGTTAAATGATAGGCTAGGCAATATTGTAATTAATTACACATGAAAGATCTTCAAGAGAAGGGGCTTTGATTCTATACCATTGAAATAGATTGGGAAAATATGCAAAATCTATGAGAAAGGGTTAGCAGTTTTGCAGGCTGAATATATTGTAAAAAAATATAAAAAGACTCCAGATAATGTTATGGGGTGTGGACAATCGAAACAAGGCAAACGTCAATAGTACTACAATAGACATTCTTTCGATTGTCCACCTCTTGCATAGTTGATATTTAGAAAGTCATGTGATAAAATTGCGGTTGCTGATTTTTTGGCAACGTTAAAAAAATGTCACCTTTTAGTAAAACTTTCTGGGCAGTAGGGCAGTAGATAATTATCTGAAGCTCTTTTCTTGATTTTTAGACCAAATAGTTAAGTGATTAAATTTCAAGGGATAATTTTGACTGCATATAACATGAATATGGAATATATATTGAATAAAAAATATAGATATATATAAATGTATTTAAATGCAAATAAAAAAAAATTTATTACAACCTAGAGAAAAAAAAAATTTTAAGGGGAAAAAAGTCTTTCTAAATCTAATAAAAAATTTATATGAACAAATTATCAAGTATGAAAAATTTTTTTAATTCTTAAAAAAAAAATATAGTATAGTATAGTATGATGATCAAGATCATATTTGAGAAAGAGTGAAGTAAAAAGAAAAGAAAAAAATAAAGCAAATAATTGATATTCACCAATTCACTATATATATATATATATATATATATATAAGTGAATATATGTAAAGTGCAATAATTAAATAATTATCAAAAAAGACTGATATGTGTTTTTTATTTTTTTTCGGTATTTATTTACACCTTTACTTTTTCATCGTGTTCGTTTTTGATGGTTGGAGAAGTCGTGGTTGTGGTTACACCATCATCATTTGTTTTCGTCTCATTCAAAGCTTCATTATTGGAGGAGTTGGTAACATTTGTACCCTCATTAGTAGTTTCTGTACTACTGGTTTTTTTGGTTGCACCAGAAGCTACAATAACAGGGGGAGGTGAATCAGTGACGGTTGCAGGTGTATCAGAAGTGTTAGAGTTATTACCATGTGTTTCAGAATTTTTTTTTTTAGGGTCGTTAGATGATGTTTGTTTTAACTCGGCCTTATTCTTTTCGAGTTCGTTACTTTGTTGTTGCTGCTGCTGCTGCTGATCATTCTGTGAATGATAACCACCATTATGTACAGCAACACTATTAGCTGGTTGACCATTTGCTGGTTGGCCATGATATAAATGAAAACCTTCAACAAGTTCTTGTGAATGATAAACAGTTGATGAAATTGAATTATTTTGTATATGCGAGGGTTGAGGTTGCATTTCTATTTTGACAAGATGTTTGTCTCCGGGTAATGAGGCCGTAGATGTTGCAACAGGACCTGAAATCATTCAAAATTTAATTAAAAAAATTTTTTTTAAAAATTCGATCCTCAATAAATACAACAATTAGTAAAATTATTGTTATAGCAGCAAGTAATAATACACACACACACACACACATACCTTCGATATTTGGATCAATGTTTCTATTATTAAATAATTGGTTATTTGGATTATTATCACCTGGTTCGTGTATGTTTTGAACCATAAAATTTTGGTCAGTGTGTTCTGGATGAAAAGCAACATGTCCTGCATTCGATGGCCCAGCGGCAGTCATTATTAAAGAGCCAGGAGGGAATCCATGGAATGGTGGTGGATAATGACTATAATGACCTGGAAATGATCCGTTAAAGTCACCTGGGATCATACCTGGAGGAGGGGCAACATTGGGTGCTGCCATTGTCATATGATGAGCATCATTTGGAAAAGCTTGGTGCATTTGTATAGGATTAAAACGTTCATGACTGTCAGCATAATGACCAGGACTACGACCACGAACTACCAAAGGTGCTGAAGTTGTTGTTGCAAGTTTATACGATTCATTATTATCAGCCTGAGCATACAAATCAATCATCACCACATAGTATTGTTGAGCTGCTCTACGTTTACCATTATTTGCAGTCGCAGTTTTAAATTGGATACGTTCAAACGTAACAATATTTGAATATGTTCCTACCAGATTTAAATTAAGGTTTCCACCAGGATGAATTGGCTTTAACACAGGAACCATCTGAGGACCTTTGTCTCGTTTAGGTGTATGTTGAACTAGGTCTATTTTTTTATCACTGTTTGAAACCTTGGCCGAGATGGCTAGCAAAAATTGGGTGACCGCATGAGTTTGACCTTCGACCTCAATTATACATGACACCTCACTCTCATCAACCGAATTATCCAGTGCAGAAATCGAGAAGGTAGAACTGATTTGGAAATAGTTTCTTCTGTAGCATGTCCAATCATTGTCGGCCAAAAAAAACCCACGATCTACTTTAGAGTTAATAGTAACTTTTAAACTAAAAAAAAAAAATAGAATCGTGTAAATAATAAATAAAATAATAAATATTATTAATATTATATATAATTTATTTGTTGTTATTTATTGTGTGATCTTTAAGACAATTTGATGTCAAAAATATTATAAATAAATACCCTGTTCTTCTATCGATTGTATACAAGGGATGATGTTGCTGTGTTGGAGTGAAGAAGGTACCAACATCTTGTGGAAAGCCCATTATATTATTGTCTCTACGTTTTCTAAGTGCTTCTGATGGCGATGGTGTAGCGTGAAACAATGATGTAGTAAATGTGGGACAACTATCGATCTTGTTTTCAGGTGGTGTTGCAATATTTGTTGCAATTTGTGAATCGTTTTTATTATTAGATGATCCGGTCACTGTGTTCACAGGGATTGACATCGTAACAAGTGAATAATATATAAAGGATAAAAAAATTCTTTTTTATAATTTAAAAATTTTTTTTTTCAAAAAGTAAAAAAAAAGATTTTTAAGGGGGGGAAATCATTTTAAATTGTAAAAATATAAAAAATGATTTGTTTAAAATTGCACGATCACGTGACATGCATTATCATCAATTTCACAATACTTTCAAAAAATATGCTTTAAATATGTGTTCAATGTCATGAACGATGAGATCCAAAATTATAGAATGTCTAATAGCTTTACTTCTTTAAGAAAGGGTAGAATGGCAGCGAAAATTTTTGTTCAAAGAATTTTGAAAAACTCTGTAACACAAAATATAAGATCATTGCCGTTACTTTGTCAATAAAAATTATTATAAAAACATCACAATTTTTTTCATTTTACTTGTAAAATCTAATATGCCTTACTCTGGAGCAAAAACTGGTTAGTATTTAAAAAATTTACCTTGTTTTCAAGGTTAAAAAGTAATTAAATTATTTTTTAATATTTAGGTTTCCGTAATGCACCTATAACAAAAGCTCTTTTACTTTGCGTTAGTGGCTGTTCACTAGCAGCCTACTTGTTAGATCGTAAATCATTATTTCAATTACAACTTAATCCTCAAATTACAACAAACCATGAGGTTAGTCAAGAGTGAGTGAGTAAACAAGCGTATATTTTATTCTTGACTAATTTTTTGATGTACATAGTTATGGCGACTTTTAACATCAAACATTGCATTAACAACTTCTGGTGAATTTTTTTTTGGAAGTATTGCCATATATCAACTTAGAATAATAGAGCAACAATTTGGTTCTTCAAAATATGCAGTAAATATATATATATATCTTATTTTTTTTAAAAAAATTTAAATATTTATAATTGCAAAAATTTTTAGGCATTCTTTTTTATATCAACTGCATTATCAACAATATTTGAAGTTGGAGCACTTTTTTTTGGAAGATCATACGGGTTGACTCATATACCGCCGGGGCCCTATGGTTTCATATTTGCAGCTCTTTACCAATACATGAAAATGATTCCTTCCGTTCACAAATATAAATTACTAGGATTACCCTTTGGTAAAAAAACTATAGTATATTTTATGGGAGCTTTACCTGTAAGATTTAATATTTTAAAGGATCAATTCTTTCATAAAGGAGAAATTGGATTATATATATGTATTTGATTTTTTGTAATTATCAAGATTAATAATATTAATATTAATATTATATCATTATCATCATCATTATTATTACACAATTTTGATATTGCTTTAGCTTTTGGCTTTCCGATATCCGCATTCTATTATTGGTGGTGTATGTGGTATTTTAGCTGGTGTAATATATCGAAATAATGTTTTCAAGATGAAAAAATGGAGATTTCCACAATTTATTAATCGATTTGCATCAAGATTTATATTACCATTAATATCAACCACTCCTTCTTCAACATCAACATCAACTACTGGACGTTCTTCATTTACAATAGACCATAGACTACAACCGACTACATCATCATCGTCATCAACAAATGATATAATAAGACGTCAGGCACGGATTGGCTCGCCATCTGTAGCACAGGTGAACTATATATATATATATATATTATTATTTTGATTAACAATTAAAAATATATAGAGATGATAATTTATTTATAAATTATAATTATAATTAGACAATTGTCAATGAGGAGCATATTGCTAATCTCCGAGCAATGTTTCCACAAAGTTCACAAGAAGTTATTACTCAAGCATTAGAAACTACCAACAATGATATCAATAGAGCAGCTCAATTTCTTCTAGATCATCATTTTTAAAAAACATTATTTTTCTTTAAAAATTCACATTTATAATAATTGTATTTAATTTCTCTCTCAGGTAAACTAATTAATATTTATATTTTATAGTATTTTTTTTAATTATTTGAATGTATTTTGTTAATATTATATCAAAAAAAAATTTTTCTACTCATACATTCATATACACACACACACACACATATACATTTATTTACATATATACGCATTCATTAATAATATTAATAATAATAGAGATTTTTAATAAAATAAAATAAATTTTTTAAAACAATAGCAATAAACAATAAAATAATTTATATAGATTAAAAAAAAATATTTATTAGTTACTAATTTACTGTAGCAAAATTTTTATTTAGCATATATATTAGTTAATATAATAATAAATAAATGAATATTTATATGGGTTTATTATTTTGTTGATTTTTTTCTAGAATCGCATCAACAGCCTTTCCAAAATTATCAAAAACTCCATCTATAGAGTTTTTAAGTTCATCACCTTCTCTATATTTACCAGTTTTAACTGTCCAAATAAATTAAATGACGAATTGATTTAATGACAAAAAATCAAAGTATCATTTATTATTTTTATATAAATAATTGAAACATACCAAGATATCTAATAAGCCCCAGCTCCTTCGCACCTCCTAATTATTATTAATATTATGATGTTAAAAAGACAAAACAAAACAAATTTTGGCTTTTAAAATTTGAAATATATTTATATTTATATTTATATTCTATACATTCCTCCCAAATCTTGATCCACGCTATCACCAATCATCACTACTTGATTTGCTTTATCTAATAGGTTGATGTCTTTAAGAGCAATTTCAAAAAAACTTCTTTCTGGCTATTAAAATAAATAAACAAACAAATATATATATAATAAATAAAATGACAAACAAACAAATAAATAAAACAAATAAATAAAAAATAAATAAAAACTAAATAAAAATAAATAAATAAATAAATAAACAAGCAAACAAACAAACAAAAGATATTTCAAAATCATACCTTTCCTACTATAATTGGTTTAGCTTGAGTAGAATATTCTAATGCTTCAACAAATGCACCCGGACCCAAACTTAAACCATTTTCATCCCGAAAATATTTTCCTTTATGAATTGCAATTAATGTTGAACTCGGATTATTTGACAATATTTTGAATGCTTTATTAAGCTGTTAAATAATATTAATATATATATATATATATATATATATATATATATAAATCATTTATTAATGATATTATTTTATTAAAAACTGTTCTTCTCCATCGATTATTGCTTTTTTTTTTTACCTTCTCGTAATGAAAACTTGAAGGTGATAAACCGATTACTACCGAATCGTTTGGTTCATTAGTTGAGACTCCTTGGAAATCTTCAATTGCTTCATCTTCAAGAAAAACTAATGGACTATTTATAATATAAACGATAAATCTTTCTAGGTAGATAATATTATCTTTTTCTCTTGCGTTATTATTATTATTACTACTGTTATCATATTAATATTATACCTAAGACCACGTGAAATTACCAAATTTCGACATGCAACTAAAGATGTGAAAATCTTTTTAATTGATTATAAATAATAGCTCGTAAGTAAGTTGATTAAATGTATCATACTCGAAATAAATTATAAGTTTTACCTCTTCTTTATTAATTTCAAAACCTAAATTCTTTAATAAATTATGAACTTTTGAAACACTTTGTGTAGTTGTGTTGGTACAAAACCTAATCTATAGAAGTTTTTTGATTATAAATATACTGTTGCAATAATGTATATATCACATCTATCTATCTCGCATATATATATATATGTATTTGTATTTGTATATACTCAACAGGAAGACTAGTTTGACGAAGTTTTTTCAAACCAAGCACAGCTCCTTCACAAGCCTATAACATTAATAATATTAATAATAAAATGAATAATTTGTTTTATTTTATATATACACACACACATATATATGTACATATACATATCAAGAATCCATGACCTTATCTCCAATATGTAAAACTCCGGAAAGGTCTATTAATACGCCCCTAATAGAAGCCATATTAAAAAGCTATACATCCAAAATTTTTAATTTGTGACATAAAAATGTTAATCGATCCCCAAAAAATCAAAAATTTTTCTTGTGGTTTTTGAAAACCCAAATTTATATATACTTAAAAAAAAATACATTATAAATTTTACATAATAAAAAATTTGATACACGTGTTCAATCTACTAATAAAAAATTTTTTTTAAAGAAATTAAGTGTCGAAAGCTCATATAATAGTTATTGATCATCATTACAATTTTGTAAAGTTGATTTAAATTCTCGGAATGCTGCTTTATACAAGTTATCATCGACAAAAACATCAATGGCTGTTAGTGATAAACATTTCGCAGCACGAATTGTTGAAATGTGAGCATCCAGAGACTTTGCAGCATTTGCAAATTCTTCTGTATGAAGTTTAGCTTGCGTTCCAATATTATATCTATATTAAATAAATAGATAAATGTATTTGGTTTTAGTTAGTCGGTCATTTTTTTAAAAATTATATATATGTATGATTTTACTTACACGCAATGAATACTTGGCACTACGTAACTGACATTTCCCTAAATCATTAGAAATAAAAATTTTTTTTAAATTAAAAATAAATAAAATACATGCATACAATAATAATTTCTACAAACCATATCAGTAGAAGATTTTGTAACTTTTAATTCATCTTGTTTACTTCTATAATGAACTCCTCTTTCACTCATGTATCTAGCGAATCTTTCAGCTAAATGTTCATTTACCAGAACATCTAAAATAATAATTACAAAAACAATTTAATTAACAGCCTGATTCCCCAAGATATTATTGATTTATTCAAATACCATTATATTCAGGGTCCCAAGTTAATTTAACATTGCACGCTGTAGCAGTTGCTGCTGAATCAAAACATGCAGTTATCTTATAACGAAGTTGCGTTAGTTGTGATTTGCTAGGCGCACGTATATTAAATTTGGCTGATGCATAATCAGTTATCACTAATTTTATAAAAAGAAAGTCAGAAAAATGTTTATATATTTTTTTTTCTATTTAGATATTAAAATAAAACTATTAAACCTACCATTTAATGCTTTCCCGCCATTTGTTATGATTCCGTGAACTCTAAATATTTATTACATGTATTTAATTATTATATTTAACATTTATCCCTCTAAAAAAATTTTTCTATCTTTACCTATTCGTTGGATGAAGTTGTTGTCGTAACAAAGAAATAGAATTGTATGCCGAAACTACGGCATCCAAAGCATTTGCACCTAAATAAAATATTAGACTTGTTTTCAAATAGGAAAAAGATACATATAATAATATATTGATAAAGTCATCAACATACCTTCCCAAGGAGAACCTTTTTTAAAGAAAAAATAGAAGAATTATAGGAGGAAAAAAAAAAAAATAAAAAAAAAAATATTATTATAATTAAAAAGATTCTTATATATATTATATTATCATTACATAAAAAAATTGTATTATATACCAGCAGCATGTGCACCTTTGCCAAAATATTCAACATTCACAGATGCAGATGCCAAATAATTTCCATAAATTGCGTCAGCATGGCTATCATTATCATCATTATATTAAAAGAGAAACATTTATAAATGTACTATTATTGATTATGAATGAGATTTATTTATTTTTGTTTTTGTTTTTTTTAAATAATAAAGGAAACTTACGCAGGATGTACCATTAAACTAGCATCAATACCCTTATATGCACCAGCTTGAATCAATTTAATCTTTCCAGCTTGAAGTTCTATTAAATTATAAATTATAAATTATTATTTTATAAAGAGATAATCAAATAAAAATCATTTATTATAAAAACCTTCTGCTGGTGTTCCCAATAGTATGATTTTTCCAGGTACATGAAACATCTTCATAACCGTCATAACACCTATCAAATAATCAAAAAAAAAATTTTTTAAAAAATGCATTAAAAAAAAAGACATAAACCAACAACAATAACAATACCAATTGCGGCTGCAACTCCGGATATCGCAATTAAATCTATCAAAAAAAAATAAAAAATTTTCAGTGATAAATGAATAAAAAAAAAAAACAAAAAATTTTAATTGAATATTATTATTAAAAAATCGTTCTTAACTTACTATGACCACATCCATGTCCAATACCAGGAAGTGCGTCGTATCTATATATTAATAAGAAATATATATTAGTCATAATCTTTTTTTCATTACAATATTAACGCTAATTAATAACAGCGTTATCTTTTGAATAACTAACTCTGAATTGATTGCAACAATTCTCCCAGGGCCTATTGGTGATGTATATTCAGCATGAAAAGCAGTTTCTAATCCATATGCTTGACGAACCACTCTAAAACCTTTGGACTCGAGATAATCTGTCAAAGTATCATGTGCAAATTTTTCTTGATACGCAAGTTCAGGTTTTTCGTGAATCTATTGATCAAATATTTTATTTAGTTGTTGATACAAAATTTATATAGATTTTTGATTTGATTTATATATTATTAAAATTTAATAAATACACCAAGACTTATTGTGCGTAACTCTTCACTTATTTCATCAATAACAGATTCTATTGTAGAAGCATATCCTAAATCTGGTTGAACAATTATATCAAAAATTCAATATAAATATATAAATATATAATGCTTGTAATAATCAATCGATTAATTGATTAATGAATTTATATTTACCGATACTTGCAGTAGACTCTTGAAACATTGAACTTCCATCCCCATTATTCAATTCAATTGATTCAGCACCAGATCTAACACTGCCAGGTGAATCTGATAATCGCTTTTGTCTTTTTTGCCTGAATCTTTCTTGAGCCTCTGCACCACTTTTTAATCTTTTTAATCTTCTTTGATTTTCAATTATATTATTTTCAGCGTGCTGAATCTTTGTATATAGGTCTTTTGCCAGTTCTTCATCAGTGGTCATGGTGATCAATTGTCTAAATTCAGAAACTTTTTTTTGTGCTAATTCTATGTCCAAAATAGCTTGACGTTGAGCAGCAGCATTTTTTGAGGTTCCACCTGGTGTAAACAATTTAAGTTGATCAGGTGACATGCCTACAAGGGAAAAATTAGATGTAGATGATGAAGGTGTAGATGGCGATTGTTGCGAATCAATCTTATGTTGTTGAGGTGTTGAATCAGCCAAGTTGACTAAATCGTTATTATTATTGTTACTTTGTTGCTGCTGTTGTAGTAATTGTTGTTGCGGGGATTGTGATGATTGATTTGCAATAAAAGACTTGAAAGTCGTATCAGATATTGGTGTATTAGAAAGTCGATTAATTTCTTCATAAATTTTTGTTTTATCCAAAACTTTTATATTAGTCCAATTACGGTTTGCGTCTTCCATGATTTTTTGTTTAGCTGGCTTGGTTTCTTGATATGTATTGATAAGCTCACTATAAGCAAATGCATTGCAATAATATTGATATAAATTTGTGGGATTAGGATAGAGAAAAGTTTTACTAAACTTTTGTTGTGTAAGATAAGTTTTTTGAGACATTATTACTATTTACTTTTTCTCACTTACGCACACACATATATCTATATTTAACAAACTGTTTGCTAATAAAATAAACTAATAATTATATATATATTATTTATTTATTAAAAATAATCACTAATTATTCTTCTTTATCTTCTTTATTGAGGAAGTAAAATTTATTTTTTTATCTTTTTTTGTGGAAGAATAAAAGAGAAAGAAGGAACTTTTCTTTAACTTTTTTTTTTTCTTACGTGATACCAGTCAGGAAAATTCCTTATTTACGTAAATTGTGACCATTATTATATAACCAATCATATTATCAGAATGCGGATTATGCTAGACATAATGTATCAGGTGATTATTAATTATGTCGATTTTTTCCAAATTTGTAATTATTATTATTATATTACTGCTCCTTTGTTTTTATATCAATTACATAATTAAAGAAATTTTTTTGAAAAAACGAACTCAAAAATCGCTGCGGTAATTGTCATACGGTGTAGATAATCTATATAATTGCTTATAGTCAGCTTCAAAAAACATATCTTCATGGTTCAAGTTTCAAAACTTATAGACTAGTTTTTTCTTAAATTAAAAATTTGGCTGAGCCTTAGCATTTGAAATTTGAAATTTTATTATCATTTATACACTTGAAAAATCGAGAATTAAAAAAGTTTAACTAACGAAAATCATTACCAATTTTGTCGTGAGGTAAGACACAAAAAAACTATGGACTCCTTTTTAATGTTAATATTAAACACGGTTGGCTCCGACAAAATAATAATAATTTCTAAATGGTATTAATAATAATAGTAATTTCTGTGCCGTAAATAATCTCGGCTACTGTATAATAGTAATTAGTAGCAACTTTGGTCTTCTTCCACGTGTACGTTTTTCAGTTCAGCCTGGGTACAATTATTTTCATTAGTATTAGCTCCAATTATTTCACATTATTATTGCTACTGTTATTTTTACTTGTTTTTGATTTTTTATAAAAGTGCCGACTATTGCTTATTACCAATTTTAAAATACTATATATTACAAAAACATAAGAATTATCTAAAAAAAAAAGTAATTTTGTGTGACACTGGATGAAAAATATGATTGGCTAATTTTATGCGTCGAAAAAATTTATTAGTATTAGTCATAGTAATAGTATTCGGACACCTATTTTTACTAATTATACAAAAATGCACATAATAACTACACATAAAATTTTATCAAAATGTAGTTTAGGTTTGGTAAATATATATGTAAATTTTGATGTTTTTAGAACATTTTAATTAAAAGAATCCGAAATTCGACGAAAATCGCAATAATATTTTTTTGTTTCTCGCTAGCATAAATAATTTATAATAAAATTAAAAACATTAGTAATTAAAATCGCATTTATAAAAATCAAGATTGACAATATTTTTTTTAACCTTTAAAAACGTAAAAATGCCAAAAAATGAAGAGGAAAAACTTTGGGCATTCATGAACAACTTTGGAATGAACTAGGGAGGCGATTAGATAAGCGAACACAAAAAATGCCAACGAATTGGAAGCTGCTTCACAAGAAGTGCGGTCAAGAACTCCATACGAAACTTGCTACAAATTAATAGAAAGCATAACTGGAAGGATTGAGGCATGCATTTCTAGCGATGAATGGCCAACTCGATATTAATATCATTTTTTTTTTTATTTGTTTATAAATTTATAAATTGAATAAAATATTTGTTTGTTGGTCATAATTTTCGTCGAATTTCAAATTTTTTTAATTAAAATCTTTCTAGATTTAAGAGTATCAAAATTTACATGCATATTCATCAAATATTGATAAAATTTTATGTGTGCGTTTTTGTATAATTAGTAAAAACAGGTGTCCGGATACTTTTGTCTAGGGAGTGTATATAATTATACAATGTGTATTTTTAACCTTTACCCAGGATTAAACAATGTCAATGACGTTATTTTTCAATTAACATATAGCATTATTGTTGTGATATATTAACAGTTCAACTTATAATAATTTTTATTCCTTTAAAATATTCCAAAGATGCTATTAAATAATTTTAATCTAAAAATAGAATCTGAATAAAATAAAAATAATATCATTGGAAATAAAATTTACTACAAGTAAATTTCTTGCCAATTCTATGGGTACTCACTCATATACAGTTCATTCTCTCTATAACGGATATTTCTATGATGAATCTTGCTCTGAGAATTCCAACTACCAAATTCCAAATGTCCTGTCCAATTTATATGTCCATATAAATATATAAATTATTACCGTCTATAACGGATTATTTTTTTTCCTAAGCTATTGTAAAGAGAGCGAATTGTATGCTATTTTTAATTTCGAATGATTTTAATGATCAAAATCAACAACCATCATTGTAAATAATATAATGAATTTGAAAAACATTTATTTGGAGTTTCTTATGCTTACATTTCCATACTGAACTAAGATTAAATAATCATGATAAAGGCCTAGATAAAGGCATGCAAATTTGTTATTAACAAATTAATTTCATAATAATGATAATTCTGGTACACATTTAGTGATGAGATTTGCACATCCAACCAATTCTGGGTCATTACCAACATGACGCCAACTGGTTTTCTGGATATTCTTTATATAAACATGGCATGTGATCTGACGTTTATTGTAAAAATTATAGGAAAAAAAAGAGATTTTAGGTCAATAATTCTCCTATATGTAAAAAAAATCTGGTAAGTAAGCTTGCGTGGATTCTGAGGATTCTTAATATACACACACATCATATTCAAAAGCTTTTGTCTATTTTTTCAGCTTATTTTTATATATACAAAAATTGAATTCGATAATAGTTATGACACTAATTATGAACTATGGTGAGAATATTGTGATATGACTCAACTTCGTAAAGATGAAGAGTGGAAAGAACGAATTTGGCCTCGCTTACAATATTTCAAGGATAATAATCTTCTACCACGTAGTAGTAAAAAATTTCTTCATTTAAGAAAAAAAAAAATATGTTTAGATGGTAGTTCATTTACACCTGAATTTGGTATTGCTATCTGTTTATAATGTGATAGATTAGTATATATAGGTAAAAATATTAATACAATAAATATTTATCATAGTGGAATCAAAAAACACCGGTCTACTCAATGTACTGGAAATAAATATTGTAAAATAAGATATGAAAAATATTTAGAAATTATACAAAAGCCTAAATCTGAACGTAAATATAAAGAAGGTCGAAATTCACATCTTTATAACAGAATGCTATCAAGAAGGTTGAACGTGCAAGAGAAATTGCGAAAAAGGTTCGAGCTGTAAATGTCATATTACAAAAATGAATCAAGTATTTCTACAGGCCTGAAGGCATATGTGTTACTGAGTTTGCTTTGCATTATAAATTATTATGGGACAGTTCAAGAAGAAACGCATCAAATTAATAATGCATAACTTATTTAAAGATATGTGATATACACATCTATTTATTAATTATATAACTTATTCATATATATATATCTATATATATTTAAAATAAAATCACCTAAATATTCCTATTTTTACTTTGATTTTTTCATTGATGTAAATTAATAATTACCTAATAACTTTACTATATAAGGTAATTATTTGTGAAACTGTCATACCAAAAACAAAAGATTTTAGCAACACTTGGTCTTTTATGTCTCTATATACATATATATACTTTAGGTATAATGTTTTTTGAGAAAACCTTTGGCGAAAAAATACCCAAGTCTTTGAATAAATTTAATTTCGAGACTCAAAAAAATATTGTTAAAATCTTTAGAACTGCTAAAGAAGAAAGTAAAAAAAAATAATATCCAAACTGAAGATGACGATTTTCTCAATCCTTTATATTAATTATTGAATAGAGCGAAAACAATTTACAACAACGAGGAATTTTAAAAGTCACAATAACTAATCGTATGTCTCGGAAATAGTTAACATGTTATGTTTTTAAATGTTTTTCTAATTTTTGTTTTTTTTTTTAGATCAGAGATTTGTCGAGGTTACCCCTTTTCATACATATGTCTCGGATTATAATGGAAATTTGAATGCAAGAATTCACTCAGACTCAATCGTGACGCTAATATCATTCAAAAACATCAAATTGCACAAGAAATTCTTGAGCATCTAAATCAGACATATTTTCAAGGGGCAAATGTCACTCTAGGAATAGTTTATTTGGTGCATGCTACCAGGAAAGGCGTGTTCGAAATCTCGGAATGTCATGTTATTGTTACCAGAATTAGATTTGGACGCTCTTTTGGCCGAAATTAACTAAGTCCGAAATTCTTAATTTTTATTTTATTTTATAACCTTATTTTATTTAGTATTAGTATTAGTATTGTTTTATCTGTATTACATCTACTTTCTTTATTTTACTAATTATTTGTATAACGTCGTAATTTATTTAACTTATTTAAGAAAGAATCGTCTTTCCAATATTTCAATATTGTGTGATATCCACGCAATTTTGAGATATCAGCGCAATTTTCAAATATCGTCTCAATTTTGAGATATTAGAATTTCTAATTAATTGAATTGTATATAAAGAACTCAATTTCGACCTACTGTAAAAATAACTTCTTCATAAGTTAATTAGTTTCGACTAAATAAACAAAATAATAATATTTTATATAAACAAACTATTTTAAAACAAAATTATACACTAATACCAAAATCAATCCGTTGATCCCATATTCACTTTGATCCACACAAAACAAAAATAATTGTTATCACCAATTAAAACACGCTCTCCCAAATTTTAATCGGTGACATTATGTAATTGGGAAGGATATGATTATTATTACTCTTTTTTTAATCTCATCTTTTTTATTATCTTATATATTATCGTGAATATTTGAAAAGCGATTTTATATTTCTGCATTTAGTATTTTCACCTTATCTTATATTTAGTATTAGTTTTACAATAATCAAGCTATATTAGATAATAAAACACAATTATTTTTTACGATTAGAAGTTACATGTGATTGTGTTGATGCTTCTAAA